TGCCTCGGAAAAAATTCCCAGTAAGCGATTCCCATGCTTTTTCATTTAAATACTAGACTCGCGAATGCATTCTCCCCTCAATGAAGGATGTTTCAGCTGATTCAGGACCTTTCTCTCTACCTCTGCTGAATGTTGTCATTGGAATTTCTTCGCCTGATGGCCCCGGATTTGAATGATCATCAGGTTGAAAAGGTTGAGTTGTGTTTTCATCACCATCATCATCATCTTCATCCGGTGGAATAAGAGGATCTCTTTCTCCGCCTTCTTCCATTTTGTGAGTGCGAAATAAAAACAACCCAAATTTCGAGAAAAAGACATCAAACGCTCTCAAGGCGGATCACTCAGCTCACCGTGTTTCTTTCAATCCGACTAAGGCTTCACTGAGTGAAACCCTCAACATTTCAGTTCCAAAGCTTGATGATGGAGTCGTCTTGTTTCCTGAGTCTCTTGCACTTGTTTTCAACTTGACAGTAGCGGGCAAGCGAATAATTTTCTCGTGAACAATGTCTCGAGAGCGCTGGTGGATAGTCTGTCTGTGAAATTTGCAGGTGAAATCTTGCAGGACACGGATGGTTATGATTTGTTTAAGCTTTACGAGGATTTATTTTTGACTGAAAGTGGGAGATCAAACTGGTTGGGTGAAGGAATTCAGTCTGGAGATCTCTCAAAGACCAGAGGTAATGCCGGAGACAAAAAAAAACTTCAGGAGTTGACAAGGAGAAAAAACTTAATGCTGTGTATGGAAATAAGTGCAGGATTCCGATAGATCATGAAATTCTGAAAGATCATGGACAAGAGCTTTATCCGATGTACTGGTCTTTGAACTCAGGCTCGCTCCCGCGAGTACTGTTGTGAAGGGGAGTGATCCGGCAAAGCTTGACTATGAGCTGAGTAACATCCAGCTTTAGTAGAGGTTATACACAGTAAGCAGCTCTCTAATGAACCAAAGGCAAATTACCTAAATGGAAAGAGGTTCATGCATGAGCATGCCATCCACCACAAAACAATCTCAATCGCAAAGGAAACTGATTCGATCATCAATGAGAGCATCAATGTTCCGAGGAGATCGATGAAGGGCTTAATTCTTCTCCTGTTTTACGAACCATACGAGGGAGGGGCGAGAGGCAGCGAGCAAACATTCAATCCTGACAACATAGAGGTGAAAGTGGTAGTGAGTGGAATCCCGAATAACGTTTACAGCCAGGGAATGAAAACTGGAGATCTCTGGGAGGAAGTTTACAGAAGATTCGGGAAAGAAAACGGTTCGATGAATGTGGCAGACTTTTATGCTGGTAACAGATTTGCTTTGTTTGTTGAACTGAGAAGTATGGGAGAAAATCAACTTCATGACTCCGGATTGAGATTGGTGAACACAAAAGACGGAGTTCAACTTACGATCAATAGGACAACGTCAGGATCAGGAAATGTTAAGCGCCATATTTTCATCTCGTTGGATGCTCAGTTCAACATCGTGAACAAAGAGCTCGAGAGTGTGACTTACTGATTTCACATAAAGTTTTTCCAGTCCAGAAACATGGATTGGAAAAAATTCAGAGGGTGGATGAGCTGAGATTTCTTTGGACAGATCCCTGAAAATCCTGGGCCGCGCCAGGCCATAGCCCAAATTTGGTGATTTTTTTTTTCCGTCCACAATGTGGAAAGGAAATTCCTTGGGCGTGGCACTGCTTTTGAAAAAATCCGGGTGTGGTTGGGCCAGAAAGTATCCCCAAATCTGTTGCAGTAGTTGTAGAAGGGGAATTCTGGGACATTTTTGACCACACCCAAAAGTGATCTGGACTTTTTTGCGGTGTGGTCAAAAATGTCCAAGAATCCCCCTTTTACAACTACTAACATCGAATTGTAGCAGGATCTGACTGAAACCAGGGTGGAAAAGGCGGGGGGAGCGGGGGGAGGTGGGGTTAATTACTAAGCATTACGCCGATTTTTTCAAGCTATCACGCATCACGGAAAAATAAAATCAAATATTAGCAAGTATCCTATTATCAGATCCTAATATCATTTGATCTGAGGAAATCAGAGGTCGAGAAAAGAGGAAAAAGGGCAAAAAGTTGGTGCCATAAGTATCTATTTTTAATGTCTCTGTTTCTAGTTTCAAATGATATTAACCATGACGGAACATGATTTCAAAGGAAAATCACGCGTCACTCGTTGTGAAAATACTAAATCACCCCTCACGCGGCTAATTTAGGGCCGATCACGCATCACGGTGATAATTTGGGTCCGACGTCACGGAAAACACCTTTGCCCTGTGAAACGTAATTATCCAGCAAAGAAAAACGCATACCAGTATTACTGATATCTCGGTTCTCTGTTGCTCTGTTGACTGACACAAAGACTGAACGCGCAAAACGGATGGGGGTAATGTTTATTCACACCNGTTGTGAAAATACTAAATCACCCCTCACGCGGCTAATTTAGGGCCGATCACGCATCACGGTGATAATTTGGGTCCGACGTCACGGAAAACACCTTTGCCCTGTGAAACGTAATTATCCAGCAAAGAAAAACGCATACCAGTATTACTGATATCTCGGTTCTCTGTTGCTCTGTTGACTGACACAAAGACTGAACGCGCAAAACGGATGGGGGTAATGTTTATTCACACCCCAAAGCATGCTGCAACTGGGGTGAGCCCTACTCTCTCCTTGTCTTCCTCCTTGCTCCCTTTGCGCCGCACTCCTGCCCACGAACACCTGTTCTCTACTAGCCTGCGAGCAAGCTCTCCTATTTTGGCAAGCAAAGTGAGCCTCGCGAGAACGCGCGAGCAGGGGCGCTCGCTCGCGCGTTCTCGCGAGACTCGCTTCACTCGCCGAAATAGGAGAGCTTGCTCGCAGGCTAGTTCTCTACTTTCTGTAACAACTTTTCGCAACCTGCAACAACCTGATATTTTGCAAGAGGCTTAAACATGGGTGGTAAAATGCGCAACATCGCTTTTCAACTCATTTTGCAGCGGTGTTGCAAAACAAGTTGCACGTTTTTATTGCCACGATACGAGTTAACATGTAAAACAAGTTTACACCTACAATAGCCCCTTGCTCTCTCCGGGGGGAGACAGTTGGGTATTTTTGGGGTGGGTATGTGGCGCCCTGGACTCCAAATTGGCACCCCGTTCTAAAAAAAATTTCCCCTAAAATTGATACCCCGTTCTAGAAATGGGCCAATTTTTTATACTCCGTTCTAGAAAGTTTGTAAATTGAAATAGCCCTGTTTTTTTAAAAAGATATTTCTTTATTTGTTCGACTTATACATCAAATAAATGTTTCTTCATAATCAGCAACAATTTTAAGCAGAAGATAAAGCCGTGATCCACAATTTTTTTATTTCCCATCTTATTAAATTGTGTTAAAAAGTTTTAACAGATCATCTGGAGTACGTTTCCTGTGCATGTGGATACAGTGCGGTTACTTAGGACGCAAAATCTCTCACCACGCACAGAACCACGCTCGTAAGCTAACGTTTTTCCTTCTCTTCCCCCGTCCCTTTCTTTTGAGCCCGTCTCCATCTCTCTCGGGTACATTATGGACTCGTTCCAGACTTTCGCGCGCCTATTCATCGAAGATGGCGGAGTCAGCGCTCGCGGCTCGCGCCAAAATACGCCCGCCCTGCACGCTAAAACACAGGGTGCAACAAGACCGTATTTTAAAAGCAATCTGTCCTTGAATAATTTCAAACGGCTCCTTACAAAACTGGAGCTTTCGCGCGTTCGAGATGTTATACCCCGTTCTAGAAAACGCCTCTGAAATGGATACCCCCTTGTAAATCAGGAGCTTCAAAATCACGACCCCGTTGGGCGGCACATACCCGTATAGGTAATGCATGGGAGTCCCCGCTCCCCCCCACCCCCTCCCCCCCCCCAACCCGGGCGCTCAACGAGGACCGCGCGAAAAATGGCGCGAGTGAAAGAGCGGGGAGGAGGGGGTGAAGAACTGTAATTCTCTCGCGCGACCATGACCGAAAATCCCGTTCCTCGGTCTTTCTTTGCTCTTAAACCAAGCGTAAACGCTTGCTACGCAGGCTAGGTTTACACCCGGGTTTGTACGGTTCATTGCCTATCTGTCGAGCAAGGAAATGGGAAACGTATCAGTGCATGCAGGCAACCGATTCCCAATATCCGAATTGTTTTCTATCTTTTTTGACTCCTTCCTTGCACATCGTCGGTCAAAAAGTGCGTGTATCACTGAAATTCCATTCTAGTTTCTCATTTTCCGCATCACTGTTATTTTTAACCACTAATACGTAGTTATTCCGTGCGTCCCCCACAATGCAAGTCATCAAATACTGATCACGTGTTTTTAATCCGCTTTCTTATTGGATGAGATCGCTGACCAGCTAACCACCGTTGATATGAGCATTGTTTTCACTCTTCCTGAAAGCTTCGTAACTTGGGATCGATCGAAAATATGCAGTCATGAATTCAGCTCAATACTCCTAAACGGACTTTGGAAGCCTTAGAAGTCCGTTTGATGTCAAGCAACATGCATTTATTGTACTTTAATTTTGTGGTTCTGTTATCTGTTTGCGGACTGCGGTGTGTCGGTGAGTATACTGCGATAGAATTATCGGTTGTGAAATTAACAGTTAGTGTACCGAATTTGCGAATTAATTTTAATGATCCTTCGAGTTTCAAATATTTAGACGACATCCAAGCAATAAACTAAATAGTATTTATCGGAAGTATAGATCGGTAGTCTCTAAATCGGTCTGCGTTGCCTATATAAGTTTATACGTGTATTTTAATTTTAGAGTACGACTTCTGATTGATTGTGCATGGTAGGTAAACTGCTAATTTCTTTGTAGAACTTGATCAAACTTTAAACTCGTATATGATGTCGTTGGCACTGTCATATTTTTTGCTAGTTATTCTCCGTCAGTCGTCGACCGTTAGCATGGCCTAATACTGAGAAATTTGCGATATCCAGCAATATCGTTGGCCTGCTGATTATGAAATGGAACTTGGGCATCAATATATGTGTATGTTCTTGTGATTTACAAGCGTTGAGTTATATCTTAGGTCGAGGTCGTTTATAAAGATTCGACACGAGCGCATAGTCCACAATCATGTGCGTTAAGCATGAACCTGTAGTTTTAGTTCTTTTCTCGGAAAATTCAGTTATTATTGTTTGTTTTCAAGATCATTTGGGCAGTTTTCCCGTTTTTTCTACTTCAGCTACAACGTATGTACTGTATTGGACCCCCTTGATGCAGTGGTTATTTGTTTAAATCTGCTAAGCTACTCGAGTGAAGTTTGTTGCAATTTTACGATTAAGTGAAAAAGATTTGGTATACAAATACATGTACTACAAGAAAATACACTTCAACAATTGTCCCCAATTGGAGGAGTGGATAGACACTACGTGTATTCTTGTTTAATGTTTTCCCATTCATCTGTGAATTGAGGACATAATAACATGTTGATTCACTTCTTTAGAGACTACAAAGTTCATTTTAATCATACATGTATCTACTGGTTAAGATCACCTTAGCAGTTTAAGCTACAGCGGCGACAAATATTAATGAGTTGAGGCTCTTCGCCCTAATCTGGGCTTTTTTTCTGTTTTCCTCACTTCAAAAGGGGAAAATATAGCTTTTCCTTCCTTATCCCCTCCAGGTAGCTTGAACTGCAGCACAACATTGCATACAGAAAACAACAAACACCCCAACTTCAAATGGAGGGGACCGGGGAGGGGTGTGGATTCTTTTGTTCTCCTAAGTTACCCTATTAGAGTACAATGTCTCAACAATTTTGTCGCAGATTTTCTGAATCACAAATGTGGCCATATTTCCTTAAGAAAATTAATTCATCCCATTTCTTCACACTGGGATGTAAAACCCCTGGTGGCTTTTTATTCAGCTATGTTTGACATCGTCATGCCTATTTTACAACAATTATTAGAAAGTGGCGATTTCATTGTTTTCAGTGCGTGACATTTCGTGTCACGCTTAACATGCCTTGACATAGTGTGATGTGGCGCGTCGTGCATGATTTCTTATTCTCTCCTTTATTGAACCGAAGAACAAAGTGAAAAGGACAGAAAACAAAATTTAGTTTTCTAGGCAATAAAGTAGTGATAATCACTAAAATTGCTGTCTAGTAGGGATTTCCATGAGTAACCACGAGTAACCAGGATGAGTATAATATAAAATATTATTAGATTATCTTTAAGAGCAAAGTTGGTTACTTGTGGTCAGTCTCCTCCCATCCTCGGAGGCCCAGGGGCAGATAGTGGGGCGAGGGAAATTCTAAACAGGCGGAAAAATATGGCACGAAGAAAAGTAAAGAACGGGGAGAAGAGCCCCTGGGGACAATGTCTTACCAGGCCAGTTCCAAACGGTCGCTGCCGTTCTGGCTTCTGATTGGTGCCAGAAAAACACATGTTTTCTGGCATAGCAATCATGGCTATTTTATCGTCGATGACACCCTCATTGCACGGCAGGTCAGCATTCATCAAAAAGTGGTCCCTTTCAAACTAGTTAATTCCAATTTTTAACCCTTTGAGCTGAGACTAATAACACGATAATAGAACTATGCATTCCCAACAGTCAAATGTTTTTGGATTTTTGATGTTAACGGTTTTTGGTGCGAAAATGATGTCATAAGACTTGAGACTTTGTTCACTAAGACTTTGTTGGCTGAAGTTACCCTATTTGAGTACAATGTCTCAATAATTTTGTTGCTGATTGTAGGTTCAGATGTGGTTATGGTTACCACCTGCACATGGTGGTGTAGGCAGCAACATCAGCTGCGTTATGACGGAAACTGCAGCTGTGAGAATTGCTACCAAAATATAACTATCAGCCATAAAAAGTTATTGAATGGGTGATGGTGATAATAATTGATGGTCAGAAGCCAACAGTGATTTTATAATTAAAAGTTTAATAAACAGCATTGAGAAGCTATGCTCTACAAAAAAAGAGAGGATGGTCGTAAGGTTGATATCTGTAAAAGCCTACATAAAGATTGTGTTCAAATACTGAACTATCATTGGACCTCAGCTGATAACACTTAGGACCCGTTCAGATGCCAAACTTTTCATGAGCCGAACCTAATTCAAATTAAGGCCGACCCAAATTATTTAGACCGGCTGAATTGATTCAGAATGCCCATCTTAATTGCAGCTGAACTAAGTTGAAACTAGGCGAAAAATGCTCATTTTGATCAAAGTGCTTACAAAATACGTTATAATAATTTATGCATTAGGTTTGGTACATGAATAGTTCGGCGTCTGAATCAAAGCTGTTTCAAGGTCGCGTTAAAGGGGAAATTCCCGGCTGGCCCAGGTGAAAGGAACGGCTGAGCCATTCCAAATTAAAAACAGGTGTTCCTAATTTATTCAGACACCGAACTTTTCATGTACTTAATTCAATGTATTAGGTTTGGCTCATGGAAAGTTTGGCGTCTGAACAGGACCTTACCGAGACCTTGATCATTTAGGATATCACACAAACCGAATCTACTGTTATTGTTTTATTATACACTGTTTTGAAGAAAGTAACCACAACCCCCTTGCCCCCCTCTGCTTGCAGATACAGCTGTAACTAACTAATCTGAAGGTTGCGCTGATTTCCAAAATTATGATAACAAGTACAAAGAAATAAAATTAATTCTGTTGAGTGCCTAGAAGCAATGCACATGTATAAATTATAGTAAGTTGCCAGGGGCTTATTAGTGCTGGTAGTGCAGTGTAAGCAGGGCTGTCACTAAGACTTCAAGTTACCAGGTATAATCATGCAATTATAAGTCAGTGGGGAATTGAACAGATAGGAATTTCTTTTTTGTTCCATTTTCCTTTGTTTTCTATGGAAATACTGTAGCAGCTGGGTGGGTCACACTTATATAGTAGCCTTCGGAAATCCTCGGCCCCTATACCCCTTAGCATTTGTTATGAGTGTAAGGCTACATGTAGGATTAGCTGGTTAATATTATTATAGTTTTACATCAAAGTGCTTGGTTCATGTTTTGGGCACATGGCAACCAAACTTCATTTCTGGAAGAACACTATGTATTTAGTTGCTGGTAGGATTCTTTGGCAGCTCTTGGGACTTGCAAGTCTACCATCTTGTTGATACAGAAGTGCTGGGTAATCACAGAGTGGGATAATAAAACTCTTGCGTATTGTTTTCTTTAATATGGTTCTGTGCTCATGCTTTTACAGATTGTAAACCAACTTTAATTCCATTAAGCGGGAGTAAAGTTTATGTTCTTGATGGATCCAACTATTACGCTTTGACTTGGAGCTACAACACTGATGGACGCACAATCAAAGAGGTGCAGCTGAAATATAGTGGCACAGGAAGTGTTGATACAACTGTGGCTGGAAAAACTCCCACGGGACAACTTCAAGTCAACCCAGGAAGTGGCTACTCAGCTAGCAGAATCAGCTATTTTGGATCGTTGTCAGCAAATGCAGGACAGATCACTTTCGGTATATCCAACATTGCTCAAAGTGACAACAGGATATTTAAATGTGACCTATCTTTCGACTCATTTGATCCCCCTGATATACAAAGCTCTATTGAACTTGTAGTGGTCGGTAAGTAAAATATTTATTGTGCTCTTTAGAGTGCAAGCAATTACATATAACCCTTTCCTTGCAGACACCTACCTTAGCCTCCCATGCGGACATTCTTAGGGGTTCATCATGGGTTCCTGTCCCACAAAAGTCTGATAAAACGATCAGTTATATTTCTTTCCCATTGTTCGCAAATGTCAACCGTAGCTCAAGTGCTGACTATTGGAGAACCGATCGGCATTGTTGAAGTCAAAGTGTTGACCAGCCAAACAACACAGTATAGAGTGTGATACAGTTGCTGTACGTGACCAAAGAGTTTTGCTCCAGACAAGAATGTAGGAGATAATGATTCGATTATTTCTCTCAGTTTGAAGGTGTGCGAGTTGATTGAGCAGTTTGTTCTAAAAGTGAGACGTTTCTGATCTTTTCTGAAGTCTTGTGCAGAATTTCTCAAGGTCCAAAGAAGACTTCCCAGATCGGAAGTGTGCTGTAATTGGTCCACGATTTTTCCCTCTCTTTTTGGCAGATGTTTGTGGGACAAAAATGTGTGCCAAACCCCTAAGAACGTCTGCGTGGGAGGCACCCTGTTACCCTGAGGAGCAGTTTCCTGAGAGTAAAAGTCTTTGGTGCTTGGTACTAATAAAAAGACCTCACTGATACTTAGTCAGTCTAGGTCATTTAATTTTTTAATTTACATGTATTTTGCAAGGGTTAATTTACCAGAACATTCATATTAGCTGAGGCATTTGTCTAGTTATTGTGCAAAAAATGTACATGCATGACATTGACTCACCTGTTACTTCATAGTAGAGGTGTGTGCGGCAGAGCCTCCATTGCTAAGGAAGATTGGAAACCCATTGATGCAAGAAAATTTGGTTATGCCATCACCGTACATCCATACGTTCTTTCAGGGTAGTACTAAGTAGATAAGAATTCCTCCCCCTTCCCCTTGAGAGCTTTGTCTCATATTATTTCAAAAGGCTTTAGAAATGATTGATGAATCAGAATCTGTCTAGTGATCATTTGTTGGTTTTTAAGGGGTAGCTTGGGCCGGGGGAAGACATGGATTCGACACCATTTGACTTACAGTACATTGTCATCAGAATGGCTGGCATGGGTTTCCCATGCAGTGGTTTTCAAAACTACAATTTTTGCATTTCAAGGTTGAAATTTACATGTACACTGATAAAAGACACAAAATTAATGGAAAGGGAAAGTTCAAAAGAATGCTCACAGTGTTCTCACCAGGCCGTGGCCTATACATGTATGTATGCTGGATTCCCGCAAGAAAATCTGAAATCAAGGCACATAAAAAGCCAAGAAAGTGCTCTCCCATTTGGGTGCAGAGGCATGCTATGAGTCAAACAGACTTTAGAGTGGCTACAGAACTTTAAGTAGTCCTAATGGTGAAACTAACACTATACCTGCCAACTTTTTCTGAGTCAAGTGTGGGAGATTTTCACGTTGTCATGACCAGACTTTCTGAAAACGTCCAGACGACTTTCTGAAGATTTCCAACGACTTTCTTAAGACTTCCGAACATTACTGAAAATGTCTGCAGATTTTCTGAAGACAACAACAACAAACTGATAAACGACATAAACTTTATTTTCACTTGAATTTTGGAGTAGCTAGCTGGCTAATATCTTCTAGCTGACACCACATAAACATACATTAAATACATTACAAGAATGAAAAAAAAACTAAGTACTTAAAAGACGACAATTTTAGCCCAGCGTGCAAAGAAAGTAGTGTCCGGTAGCCCGGGGCTAGTGGATTTTGCTATCGGGCTAGTGAAATCTGTTTTTAACTTGCCCGATGGGCAAGTGATTTTCTTTGACGAATTCGAATAACAGAAGAAGTGTGAAATCAATTCTGCTCGACGAAAAGCTTTTGGGGCTAGTAAAGACATCAGGGCTAGTAAATGCTAGCTTCAGCTTGCCTGAATGGCAAGCTGTAAAAATGATTTTCTTTGCACCCTGTTAGCGTGCTTTGATTTTGTTAGAACACAGATAGAATTTGTACAGTGACTGCCAACGTTAAAATAGGTTGTATAGAAGATGTTTCAGGCCACAAAACTGTCACCTTAATGGGGTCAGTGAACCGTTTACCTAGAGAAGATGATTTGACACATTTAACATCTTTTTGGATTGAACTGTCATTACTTCAGTATTGTCTGCGGCTGTGCTTGGCAAGTTAACCAGGTTAGTTTTTGAAAAACCTGGTAACAAATTCTTTGGAACATACACCGTATTCACAAATGGCGGACACGCGGGGAAAAACTGGTGCCTAGTCATGAAAGCGAGGCGTTGGAGGATGAACAAAAATTACAAATGAAGACTTTCAGTGAACTTGCAGAGTGTTTAGCACCGATTCCACCTAAAATAACTTTGTATGATACAATTACGTGGGACGTCTTCTGCTTTTAATGTTTAGTATTGATTTGCTGTTTGCAATCAAAAGGGACGCGTATATCTTCAAGGAAACAGGATGATTTTGTAGGTTCCCGAAGCCCAGAAGCTCGACAAGTGGGCGATGGCTGGAGAAAAGCGGCAAACATGTTGGCCCACACTTCACACTGAACCCGGCTCCCTGCAATTCGGTAAAACACAAATATAAACAATGCAAAATAAAAATCTTGGTGGCAAGAAAAAAAGAAATAAGATATATGGCCTACTTGTTAATGCAAGAGACGTCTGCTATTGAACAAAACAGTTCAAGTCGAGATAGAAAAAAGGAAGACAGGAAAGAAGCGGAGACTGAGGTTTCGATGAAGTTATGTTTGGTTTTGGTTTGCCAGGACGTTATTCTCTGGTCTTTATCGATGAAGGGCATCAATTAGATCTATTTTTTAGTATAAATGCAGGAGTGATCGAGTGGAGTACGTTCAAAATTTCAACATGTTACTCGGCAGACTCGGTAAGCCGGCCACATATCATTTCAGCGAGTAATTTTCGTATTTCTTATCTTTGGCTGTTAAGAGTTTTAACTTTATGTTCCATAATATTTTAAAAGTGAAGAATACATAAATAAATAAAATGATGGTCTTTTTAAACGGATCCGGACTCGAATTTAATTATTCGAAACTGAGAAGCTTGCCGTGTTCAGCCCTGACACAAACATTGCCTGAAACGTTTAACCTAGTAAAATGTGAGCTTTATACCACTTTTTTACCAAGAGTTCTCCAAGATAATGCCCTAAAGGAGACCAGGCAAACAGCAAGCCATAAGATTCACACACTTTAGCTTCTAATTTTGATAAAATTATTTTATTTCGCAATGATAAAGAAATCAAAAGATTTTTGCTAAGCTCTGCCAACGTACCTCTAACAATAAAATTCACTCCAAAGCGACGGAATTAATATGATCCAAAGGAAGTTGTAAATACAGACATACATAGATATGTATGAAATGACACTTACATGAATAAATGAGTCTCGTGAATGAATCTTTCACCCGCTCTCGACTTGACCTGTTTTGTGTAATGGCACTAAGTAGGCTGATATATCCGTCGCTTATTTCTTTTTTCCTTGCCACCAATATCTGTTTTTATTTGTTTTACCGAATTGCAGGGAGCTGGCTTTCGTATTCGGGTTCAGTGTGAAGTTTGGGCCAACATGTTTGTCGCTTTTCTCCAGCCATCGCCCACTTGTCGAGCTTCTGATTCTTCGGAAACCTACAAAATCATCCTGTTTCCTTGGAGATATACGCGTCCCTTTTGATTGCAAACAGCAAATCAGTACTAAACATTAAAAACAGAAGACATCCCACGTAATTGTATTTAAAAAGAGGTCCATACAAAGTTATTTTAGGTGGAATCCGTGCTAAACACTCTGCAAGTTCACTGAAAGTCTTCATTTGTAATTTTTGTTTATCCTCCAACGCCTCGCTTTCATGACTAGGCACCAGTTTTTTCCCGCGTGTCCGCCATTTGTGAATACTGTGTATAACCTGGTTAAAAGAGTTTTTTGTCAGCAGACAGACTCAATCTAGACTCTAACAAAGTCATTCATTGGCGCGCAGTGTTTGGTTTTCTTTGCTCGCTTGGGCCGCTCATAATGCTCACCTAAGAGTGAGTGACAAAAGTTATTATTATTTATTTATTTTAGTATAGGTAATAGCATGATTTGTAGTGATATTTGGCATAAATACCACAAGTGATATTTCGAAATTGCTATACGTAATTTCACGAGCCGTTAGGCGAGTGAAATTTGAGACAATTTTGAAATATCACGAGTGGTATTATTTTATAAGCCAAATATCATGTACAAATCATGCTATTATTTGTTTATACTACTACCCGGGAAAGGTTTGTAATTTTCACATGTAGGTATTTCAAATTAAGCTGAAATACCACTGCTCTAAGCCAACCAAATTGCGGAAATTTCTCATGTAGTAGTATAATACCAGTAACACCTACCAGGGCTGAAAATAACGGAGAGCAGGTCGCCGGTCATGATGACCGGCCAAATATTTTTTAGCTCGGACAAACCCCAATTCTGGCTGGTCAAATAATGAATACTATTTTTTTTTGCCTAAGGAATATCGAATTACGCTGGCAATAGATCGTTGTTACTACATTGAATGACGTTCACATTTTTGACAGCAAGTTGGTGAAAAATGTATTCACACGTTGTAGAGTTCCTCGTACGGCGGTGTCCGAAGTCTCTAAAGGTAAAAAGTGAAGCATAAATCCTTTTCAAACTCTCAAGGTTTTAGGAAATGGAATACACATACAGTTTAACAAAGTTTAGGAATTATATGAAAAAAAAAATGATTGGGGTTATTAAAGAACAAAATCTGCAGACGTTTGTTTTACGTTGATGTTCAGAAAAGAACATTGGTGAAACCTGATCTTTTTCCTTGCTGGACACGTTTTCAAAAGTCTCCTCCACAAAGAAGAATCGTTGCTAATATTTTCGGCAAAGAAGTTGAATTGCACTGGCGAGAAGTTTGTTCCCCAAAGATAATTAATTAATTAATTTATTGTCAGTAGCCAATAGATATACAGCAGAGTTTTCATTTGGGTCATCCCGCAACACTTTATCACAAAGGGCTCAAATGTCAACAGAAGTTTACATAAAGTTGTTTACAAGAAGGAGAATTAAGTGCCGAGATAGACAACGATGTTCCCTCTCCATTAGCTTAAAATTAATTTTTATTAGACTATTCTGGAATCGAATCCGCAAATGAGATTCTTGTTCGACTTATAAAGAAATTATTATTATTAATAATTGACGCACTAACATTATTCATGGAGAATTGGATTGCGGCCTGTTGAGAATAGACCTTGTCACAGTTTTCGACATCATCTTGGCAAGACTGGGGTTTGACCGGTCAAGTCCGCAATCAGGTCAGACATTGTCCGTTGACCAGCCAGTATTTTCAGCCCTGCCTACTCTTTGAAGCCAAAGATTGATGGCATTGACCCGTACTACTGATGAAAAGAGGTCGACTCCTTAAATCTTAACTCAATTGTGTTACGAAAGGAAAAGGAAAGCTGACCTTGGGGCAAAAGAAGTAATTTCCAAACTGTCGTGCTTGTGTGCATAGTAAAGCCAAAGTTTGGACCATTCTCACGCGTAGGCAGAGATGATCACCTGATTGATAAGTTTAACCTGCGTTAAACTACCTCGCGAGGTGGGTTTAAAAAATGTAACCTGGTTAAGAAAACCTATTGTTCGTGCTTTATTTGCATAACCCGGTTAGAACTCTCCTAAGACTGTAGAAAATGCGGCCGCACTCGCATTTTTTTTTAAACGAGTTGACTTTAATAATAACTATTTATTATTAGTTAATCAGGGCTGGTAGCCGGCCAAAACCACCGGCTAGTTAGCCATCCTTAGCCAGCTACTTTCATCTCCTTCTACCATAATTGATGACAAAAAATAAGCACCATTAAATAAAATTGTAAAGCATCCGTTTCCCAGTTTTGAATGACATTGAACACATATAATTTTAAACATGAAACGTTTGAACCGTGCGATATTGTGGAACGCCTGGGACATTTTGACGGCATTTTTCCCAGTCTTGCATGTATTCTGACGAAACAGCATGGTGTCCGCAGTGGAAAGTACCTCCTGAAAATCCCTGGAAAAACCATTTTGGAGACTCTAAATTTCAAAATGTCCCTAGATGCCTCAGCCCTCAAGAACTTGTGCCTTTGGTGCGAGTTCCAAAGCCGCCTTTTACTCATTATCAGCCTGCTTCTTAAAACTTTTTGACAGCCCTGGTTAATTGGAAATAATTCAGTTAACTCCCCAGCAGCCATTATGTTTTAGTAAAAAACAATTTGTCAGGATCTGTCATTCAGGTGTGAGAAAATTGGCTTTGATGTGTGGGATACATGTCTTTAGTCCACAAGCATGAGACTTACACATAATGCGTTAGAGTTGGCGGGTATGTAAAACCCCAGCATTTTGCTTGGTTGAATGAAGTTAAAAAACATAAAAACATGATATCAAAAGATTCAAATTCTTTAATTTTACTTCCTTAACTTTTGTTGGTCCCACTTGCATTGCGAAGATTGGTGCATGCATCATTATCGAATCATAAACACCCCGTCCACCTTATTGGATCAGGTAGGTACTTCGAATGTAACAGATCGTTTGGAGTGCAGGCTTACTTTGTCCCCCTAATGTTCTTACAGGGCCCCTGTTTCTCAACAGAAGCGGCCCTGGGACTCCCTAAGGCAAAATCCTGGTGAAAACACTGTGCTCATTTTTTTTGTGGACATGAAAGCCTTTGAGGAATTCAACATTGTTTTCTTCACAGTAGAGCGCTTGGTCTTTTTTGACCCAACCAAGGCAGCAAAGTTTTTGAAGAAATTTCATGTACATTCTGTACAATGGTCAAGGAAAGTATGTTTCTAAAAAAGGGGATTGTAAAAGGTTTCATACATGTACTGGTTTTGTTCATCTTGACATCAGCGTGAAAGAAAAACTACAAAATGTGCCCGATTTGAAGTTGATTTTAGCAGGCCTGTAGGGAGGAGGGGTGATGATATGCATTTTTCGTTTTTTTGAGTAGCCCTTTATCTTTGAGCATAGTTTTAAATATCTACTGTTTTCTGTGGAAAAAAAGTAATACTCGCGGCACAAAAGAGGCTCTCTTCCCTGGCTGCTATGCACGTCCACCGTCTAACAGATAATAATAAAGCTGTCTCTTTGCCAAAAAAAATCAATTTTGAAATTTCAAAATTTGAGAAATATCCGTGTTTTTCAAAACATTCGCAATACAGTCTCAGACCCTAATTCACTACCACACCCCCCCCCCCTCCACCCGGAGACTTCCTCATCCGGTCTTGTTTGGTCCGCCTCCTCCTTGGATCGCACCTCCCCATAAAAAAAACCTGGCTACGGGCCTGTTTAGGTTGAATTTTGGCATATGCTTAGCTGTCTTTACTACAATGTAGCTTTCATTACTTAGAGGGGACTGTCACTTTATAGAGGGAAAAACTAACTGAATGCACAAGCAAAATAACGAGTTTATGTGACAATGTGACAAATCTAAATTTAATGTAGAATGTAGACTGAGAAAAAAACAAGAGTCTATATTATTTTCTGTATCATTCTTGCTTGAATCTCTACGGTAAATTGCCTAAAATCCAAAAAATCACAAAGAAGTGTCCTGCAAAAATTTGTGGTTTTTGGCTCAAAGATGCTTTCAGAATGTCTTTCAGAAATGGCCAGTATTTGCACTTTATTCATTCTTTGTTGCGGAAAATACGCCATTACGCCAAATGTTAGGTGATCACTAGTCAAAGTGAATATAATGTTTCATCAATCATGACTTTATTTCATGAGTTTTCCCGATTCGCGCTCTCTTTACCGGTCAATTCACGGATCACACAAAACCCCTTTCAGACCTTATGTTAGGTTAATTCTAAGAGGTACCATATAGTGCAAGTATTTTTCAAACCCTGTATCCAGGATTGTAAAAGATGTTTTACACATTAAATGAGTAAAAATAATATACCAATTTATTTAACATACTTTATGTACAAAATACAGTGAAACCTCAAGTGTCCGCTGAATAGAGGGTGTCCGCTTAATAGGGATTTGTCGGTAAAAACTGTGCAATGTTTGTTAACGAGTAATATCAACAGTTACTCTGTACTGTAATAATTATAAAGTTCCATGTTGTTGAGGAAGCTATCCAGAGTTCAAGTTCATTAATTACCAACTGAATATTGGTCTAATCTACCTGTAGTTTATTGACAGCTAAATGTACTGATTTAGGGAAAGTTCATTTAATATGACAAGGGGGGGGGGGGGGTGAAAGATTTTGGGGGGTAGCCCGAAAATTTTTTAAACCCCCAAGGGGGGGGCTTGGAAAAAATTTTTGGGTTGGGAAGGGCACCGGCTGGACCCCCGGCAACACACCGATTCGGTAGCCGGCTTCTGTCTTAAAAAAAAAACAACATGAAAAAAAAATGAAGANATCATACAGATCGGATGGTTTTCAACTCAACAATTTAATGACCTGTGCAACTCAGCTATATCACGTGGTTTACAGATATAACAAATGTAGTCTCAGTAATTATTACACTCTTGTTCATCCCAAAAATGCTTTAGAAAATTTCAAAAATTAGAAATGCTCAAACTTTTTATAATAAAACCACATTGATTCAACAAGATTTCAAAATCTGCTAACGGGAACTATAAAAACGATGACTCTGTAACAAGAAATGTTAAGAAATGAAGGAGGACGGGGGGGGGGCTCTGAAATTTTTTCGACTACCAGGGAGGGGGCTCCTAAAAAATTGAACCACTAGCGAGGGGGGCTGGGGGGTTACCCCACCTAAGCGGGTTACCTCACCTGCCTGGGGTCCCCCACCTCCATGTATACAGGCTCTTTTGGCCTTAATATATGATACCTGAGAAAGCTTTCATGGACTCATTTTACTGTTCATGTACCTGTACTTGTGTCTGGGTTGCATGTGGGGGTACCCCTTCAAGCCCCAATAGTGACCAACATCAATTTTCTCCTAACAATATCCATATGTTGCCAAGAGAAATGGTTATGAGAGTTAATAATATGATCACCTAAGAGAAAAGGCTTTGATCTTAAACCAAATTCTCTCAACTTTTTGTTTAAGGAAGTGTATGGAGACCAGTCTGGAGAATTTGTATGTGGATATTGGGGATGAAAGGGGTACATGTATTCACTGCGTGTTTTTGCTGATCTTTGTTCTTTAATCCTCAGTTGCACCAAAAATCACACTGAAATCTCAACGTACTGTAACAGTAGATGAAGGCAATGTGATAACGCTACTGTGTGTTGCCACTGGCAACCCCAAACCATCTATCACCTGGACAAACGGCACTTTAGTTAAGCAGCAAACCTCGATTACCAACTACACCATATCATCAGCTGCCAAACAAGATGCAGGGACATACACCTGTACAGCTCGTGTTGCTGTTCCGTTACCGAACGTGCAACCTGATAGTTACCAAGTGACTGTGATAGTGAGATGTAAGTGTGTTCAGTTTGTGTTAATTAATTAGTCTTTTGAAACTGAGTTCTTAGTATTTGCATGAAAATTAATGTTATGTACATGTACCGCCGTATGCCCCATTTTCCTTTAACACTTAATAAACACTGTATTTTTTCCCCTGGCTTTCTAGGCATTACACCACAAACAGCTGTCCAAATTCAATTTTTATTAGTTCAAGAGCCATTTTATGTATTTTCTTTTCAAAATATCATTTTTGCTTGTTTTACCTTCCCTACACATGTTCTATATACATTTAGTTCAAGCTACATGCATTTAAACTGAAGTCTATTATGTCTAGTAACGTAGCCTAAAACTGTTTTGTTTGATGGAAAAAAGGTGGAATAGTAGATGATTAGTTTTCTGATGGATTCAAATAAATAAAATCTACTTAGCTGCCCCAAAAAGTTTTCAGGGACTACTGTCAAAGTATTTATAGGCAAAATCAATCCAAATCAGACATACATTTGAACATTGTAACATGATTAAAAACCCAGTTAGGCAGGAGGCAAAACAGTTGTTTACATGCGAGGTGGAGGAGTTAAATTTGGAATAGCCTGCGATCATGCCCTCTCCCTTTATCTCTGTAATCTGTTTCCGGGAGGAGGGCATGATACAATCCTTTCACAGATCACATGCAAAAAAGCCAGAATCTGGACTTTTTTTGGTTGAGCGCATGCTCGTTAAACAAAGTGCTATTTTTGCGCCGGGACATGCTGTATTGTCTATGCAAGCAATATGATCATGTCATAATGTTGTCAAAGAACCAATCTGCACACTCCCCTGGCAGTTTCTTGATCAACTTAGGTGCAAATAGCTGTAAATTAATCAACCATGGAATAAAACCCTTGGGTCAACAATAAATTAAACGTTGGTAGTGCTGGCAAAATGGCTAATTTTCCTGCGATTTTAGTACTCCTCCAGCCCACTTCAGGTTACTGTGAAATACACTTCTACTTTGAAATACACTCTGAGATCACTGAGATACATGTGCGTGGGGTTATTAACTGATAGAATTGATAATAAATTGGAAAAATGTAATTTAATTAATCAGCATGCGCTGAACCGTGAACCTGTCCCTTTTAATTTAGAAATATAAGTCATATAACTGCGTGTACTTAATAAACAAATCCAGCTAGTCATTAGAATAGGATTTGAAACTCTGGAATGCAATTCAGCCATACTGACTGATGGTAGCCTGCGTGCCGTCGCAGATGTAATCTATACACCCAGTTAGTAAAGTTTGCAAAGCAGCACCAGGATTCTTGTTCTGATCCCCAACAAATTTCCCTTCAACCTGATTAACAAATGGACGATGGCATCTATGGACAGACCAATGATGGCGCATTGTCAAATCCTGAGTTTTATTTTTGTCTGTCGAACAGGCTACAATCCTCCTGTAGGATTATACAACATTCTGAAACTGTAGTAATAAAGTTTTTTTTTCGTGTTTTTAGATAAGCCTCAAATTAATTTTCTGACGTCGAATCGAACAGTAAATGATGGCACTAATGTGTCATTCTCCTGTCGAGCTGATGCTGTTCCCTCACCTACCACATACAACTGGTTTAAAAATGGAGTAATAATACCCAGTGGTTCAAGTGGAGATTTGGTCAATTCTGGTCAAGAATTAACAGTGACAAAGGTTAAAAAGGGAAGTGCTGGCCGATACAGTTGTTCTAGCAGAAATGATGTGGGAACTGGAGAAGAAAGATCTACCTTTCTTACTGTTAACTGTGAGTTTTACTTTAATAACAAGTTCACTTAAGAGAGGCTGCTGAGAAAATATAATTAATATTTTCTTCTTGCCCTTTTGACTCAAACTACATGTAATCTTTTTGCACCTTACAACACTTGGTCAATCCAAAGAATAATTATCATAAAAGTTAGGGCTGAAAAAAACCTTAAATTCAGCTGGCCTTTGGACAGTACCCTCTTTCTGCCTGCTTAGGACCATTGTACAAAGGAGATTCT